TCCAGGAATTCATAATTGAAGTATCTTCTTTAAATATAATAATTCTGAAGTCAATCTGAGCCTCAGAAACGGAATTATGAATTTTTAAAAAAATCCTTGTAAAATTCTTAATAAATCAACTTTGGAATTTTTTCAAAAATACTTCCAGGAATCTGAGCAACTTGAAACTTCCAGGAATTCATAATTGAAGTATCTTCTTTAAATATAATAATTCTGAAGTCAATCTGAGCCTCAGAAACAGAATTATGAATTTTTTTAAAAATCCTTGCAAAATTCTTAAAATAAATCAACTTTGGAATTTTTTCAAAAATATTTCTAGGAATCTCAGCAACTTGAAACTTCTAGGAATTCATAATTGAAGTATCTTCCTTAAATATTATAATTCTGAAGTCAATCTGAGCCTCAAAAACAGAATTATGAATTTTTTAAAAAATCCTAGTAAAATTCTTAATAAATCAACTTTGGAATTTTTTCAAAAATACTTCCAGGAATCTCAGCAACTTGAAACTTTCAGGAATTCATAATTGAAGTATCTTCCTTAAATATAATAATTCTGAAGTCAATCTGAGCCTCAGAAACAGAATTATGAATTTTTAAAAAAATCCTTGTAAAATTCTTAGCAAATCAATTTTGGAATTTTTTCAAAAATACTTCCAGGAATCTGAGCAACTTGAAACTTCCAGGAATTAATAATTAAAGTATCTTCCTTAAATATAATAATTCTGAAGTCAATCTGAGCCTCAGAAACAGAATTATGAATTTTTTAAAAAATCCTTGTAAATTTTTTTTAAATAAATCAACTTTGGAATTTTTTCAAAAATACTTTCAGGAATCTGAGCAGCTTGAAACTTCCAGGAATTCATAATTGAAGTATCTTCCTCAAATATAATAATTCTGAAGTCAATCTGAGCCTCAGAAACAGAATTATGAATTTTTAAAAAAATCCTTGTAAAATTCTTAATAAATCAACTTTGGAATTTTTTCAAAAATACTTTCAGGAATCTGAGCAACTTGAAACTTCCAGGAATTCATAATTGAAGTATCTTCCTTAAATATAATAATTCTGAAGTCAATCTGAGCCTCAGAAACAGAATTATGATTTTTTTAAAAAATCCTTGTAAAATTGTTAAAATAAATCAACTTTGGAATTTTTTCAAAAATACTTCCAGGAATCTCAGCAACTTGAAACTTCCAGGAATTTATAATTGAAGCCTCTTCTTTAAATATAATAATTTTGAAGTCAATCTGAGCCTCAGAAACGGAACTATGCATTTTTTTAAAAATCTTTGTAAAATTCTTAACAAATCAAATTTGGAATTTTTTCAAAAATATTTCCAGGAATCTGAGCAACTTGAAACTTCCAGGAATTCATAATTGAAGTATCTTCCTTAAATATAATAATTCTGAAGTCAATCTGAGCCTCAAAAACAGAATTATGAATTTTTTAAAAAATCCTTGTAAAATTCTTAACAAATCAAATTTGGAATTTTTTCAAAAATATTTCCAGGAATCTGAGCAACTTGAAACTTCCAGGAATTCATAATTGAAGTATCTTCCTTAAATATAATAATTCTGAAGTCAATCTGAGCCTCAAAAACAGAATTATGAATTTTTTAAAAAATCCTTGTAAAATTCTTAAAATAAATCAATTTTGGAATTTTTTCAAAAATACTTCCAGGAATCTCAGCAACTTGAAACTTCCAGGAATTCATAATTGAAGTATCTTCCTTAAATATAATAATTCTGAAGTCAATCTGAGCCTCAGAAACAGAATTATGAATTTTTAAAAAAATCCTTGTAAAATTCTTAATAAATCAACTTTTGAATTTTTTCAAAAATACTTCTAGGAATCTCAGCAACTTGAAACTTCCAGGAATTCATAATTGAAGTATCTTCCTTAAATATTATAATTCTGAAGTCAATCTGAGCCTCAGAAACAGAATTATGAATTTTTTAAAAAATCCTTGTAAAATTGTTAAAATAAATCAACTTTGGAATTTTTTCAAAAATACTTCCAGGAATCTCAGCAACTTGAAACTTCCAGGAATTTATAATTGAAGCCTCTTCTTTAAATATAATAATTTTGAAGTCAATCTGAGCCTCAGAAACGGAACTATGCATTTTTTTAAAAATCTTTGTAAAATTCTTAACAAATCAAATTTGGAATTTTTTCAAAAATATTTCCAGGAATCTGAGCAACTTGAAACTTCCAGGAATTCATAATTGAAGTATCTTCCTTAAATATAATAATTCTGAAGTCAATCTGAGCCTCAGAAACAGAATTATGATTTTTTTAAAAAATCCTTGTAAAATTGTTAAAATAAATCAACTTTGGAATTTTTTCAAAAATACTTCCAGGAATCTCAGCAACTTGAAACTTCCAGGAATTTATAATTGAAGCCTCTTCTTTAAATATAATAATTTTGAAGTCAATCTGAGCCTCAGAAACGGAACTATGCATTTTTTTAAAAATCTTTGTAAAATTCTTAACAAATCAAATTTGGAATTTTTTCAAAAATATTTCCAGGAATCTGAGCAACTTGAAACTTCCAGGAATTCATAATTGAAGTATCTTCCTTAAATATAATAATTCTGAAGTCAATCTGAGCCTCAAAAACAGAATTATGAATTTTTTAAAAAATCCTTGTAAAATTCTTAAAATAAATCAATTTTGGAATTTTTTCAAAAATACTTCCAGGAATCTCAGCAACTTGAAACTTCCAGGAATTCATAATTGAAGTATCTTCCTTAAATATAATAATTCTGAAGTCAATCTGAGCCTCAGAAACAGAATTATGAATTTTTAAAAAAATCCTTGTAAAATTCTTAATAAATCAACTTTTGAATTTTTTCAAAAATACTTCTAGGAATCTCAGCAACTTGAAACTTCCAGGAATTCATAATTGAAGTATCTTCCTTAAATATTATAATTCTGAAGTCAATCTGAGCCTCAGAAACAGAATTATGAATTTTTTAAAAAATCCTTGTAAAATTGTTAAAATAAATCAACTTTGGAATTTTTTCAAAAATACTTCCAGGAATCTCAGCAACTTGAAACTTCCAGGAATTTATAATTGAAGCCTCTTCTTTAAATATAATAATTTTGAAGTCAATCTGAGCCTCAGAAACGGAACTATGCATTTTTTTTAAAATCTTTGTAAAATTCTTAACAAATCAAATTTGGAATTTTTTCAAAAATACTTCCAGGAATCTCAACAACTTGAAACTTCTAGGAATTCATAATTGAGGTCTCTTCTTTAAATATAATAAATCTGAAGTGAATCTGAGCCTCAGAAACGGAATTATGAATTTTTTAAAAAATCCTTGTAAAATTTTTAACAATTCAACTTTTGAATTTTTTCAAAAATATTTCTAGGAATCTGAGCAGCTTGAAACTTCCAGGAATTCATAATTGAAGTATCTTCCTCAAATATAATAATTCTGATGTCAATCTGAGCCTCAGAAACAGAATTATGAATTTTTAAAAAAATCCTTGTAAAATTCTTAATAAATCAACTTTGGAATTTTTTCAAAAATACTTTCAGGAATCTGAGCAACTTGAAACTTCCAGGAATTCATAATTGAAGTATCTTCCTTAAATATAATAATTCTGAAGTCAATCTGAGCCTCAGAAACAGAATTATGAATTTTTTAAAAAATCCTTGTAAAATTGTTAAAATAAATCAACTTTGGAATTTTTTCAAAAATACTTCTAGGAATCTCAGCAACTTGAAACTTCCAGGAATTCATAATTGAAGTATCTTCCTTAAATATAATAATTCTGAAGTCAATCTGAGCCTCAGAAACAGAATTATGAATTTTTTAAAAAATCCTTGTAAAATTGTTAAAATAAATCAACTTTGGAATTTTTTCAAAAATACTTCCAGGAATCTCAGCAACTTGAAACTTCCAGGAATTTATAATTGAAGCCTCTTCTTTAAATATAATAATTTTGAAGTCAATCTGAGCCTCAGAAACGGAACTATGCATTTTTTTAAAAATCTTTGTAAAACTCTTAACAAATCAAATTTGGAATTTTTTCAAAAATATTTCCAGGAATCTGAGCAACTTGAAACTTCCAGGAATTCATAATTGAAGTATCTTCCTTAAATATAATAATTCTGAAGTCAATCTGAGCCTCAAAAACAGAATTATGAATTTTTTAAAAAATCCTTGTAAAATTCTTAAAATAAATCAATTTTGGAATTTTTTCAAAAATACTTCCAGGAATCTCAGCAACTTGAAACTTCCAGGAATTCATAATTGAAGTATCTTCCTTAAATATAATAATTCTGAAGTCAATCTGAGCCTCAAAAACAGAATTTTCAAAATCTTGACATGGTCATGAACAATTGCCCATATCTTTGGTGAATTTTAAGCAAATTGAAATAAATTACATACCATTGAAAAAAGCATTAGATTCTCTATAAATCCATGCAAAATTGAGTTTGATCGCTCAAATAGTTTCTGAGCAATTGAGCTTCAAAGTTGACTTTTAGTCCAAATTTTGTCAAAAACTTCAAACTCAATTTGCTCAAAAACTATAAATCTGGGAATATTGTAAATTATAGGCCATTTAGAACCTAATAAAAGCTGCAAATGCTGAAAATTTCAATGTAATTGGCTTAACGGTTACTGAGCAATTGAAGTTTGAATAGAGCGGGTCAAAATTAGTGGAAAATTACCCTGATATCGATTCCAAATGGCCATTTTAAGCAGAAACAAAAATAAACAGAAAAACTTATTTTTGGTTTTGAAAATCTTGATATGGTCATGAACAATTGCCCATATTTCTGGTAAATTTCGAGCAAATTGAAATAAATTATACACCATTGGAAAGAGCATTAAATTCTCTATAAATCTGTGAAAAATTGAGTCTGATTGCTCAAATAGTTTTTGAGCAATTGAGCCTCAAAGTTGACTTTTAGTCCAAAAACAGCTTGTAACTTCGATGCGCCTATACAAAACCCATTTTTAGGGTACTCTATTAAAATAATTACCTTTGAATAAAATCATTAGTAACCATCTCAATTGGTTCAACATATTTCCGCACAGTATGCAATTGCAAAATGGGTTTTTGCACTTTGGTTCTGAAACTTTTCCACGGTTCTCCGTGTACTCCAACTACACCTCCTTCTTTTCCGAAAAAATCCTTGCGTACTTCACTTTTGTATTTGACCAAACAAGGCATTGAAGGTCTAAAGGGTGTAGGGCCTTCTTGCCTGTAAACTTTTTCAATTTCGTTTGCATCATACAAAAACAACAAATCTGGTCTACCAATTAGGCCTGATAGTTTTACGATTTTTCCGTATTGTTGGTAAAACAAGCTGGATAGTTTGGCTACATCTGAAACATCGTATTGGCCTATTAGGGGTAGGAGTCTCCACGTATTGCCTAAAATGGGTAAGGGTTTCGGGCCTGGGATATCTGAGTACGGTTTTATTTTAGTTATAATTGACTTCATTGTTGGTTGTTTCACTGTCGGACGCGAAATTTAAACTAAACACACCATGACATACTTTTTAGGCTTTGAAACTTTCTCTGGCACCGAAACAAAAACGAGGTAAGAATATTTAATTGAAGGTCGTTCATCTTCAGGTGGTATTTATTATGTAATAATTGATACCTAGTTTTTGTACCACCATGGTACTTCCTTCTTGGTTCCTTTGGTCTTAAGGTATATTTTTCACATGAAATGAAACACTGGGTTTATCATTCATCACATTTTATTAACAAATTTCAAATTCAAAGGTCCATTAGGCGTATACATAGGATGTATAAAATAATCTAACTTGTCCCTATGATATTCGATTTTGTAGTTCCTTATAATTTTGGCTAATAAGGTTTGAATTTCCAATTCCGCAAACCTTTTGCCCAGGCACATTCTTTTACCGAAGCCAAATGGTAATGAGGCAAACGGATGATGGTTTTTCTGGTTTAATAACCATCTTTCTGGTATAAATTGGTTGCTTTTTTTGAAGTAAACATCTTGGTTGCTTATTACGTAGTGTTGGAAGATTATTTGAACCTAAAATAATTGTGAATTTATTATATACCTACATTGTATCAATTTACTTACTCCTTTTGGTACATGGTAGCCACCAATAATGGAATCAATTGAAGTTTCTCTTCCATTACCAATTACAACAGGATAGAGCCTCATTGTTTCTTTGATGCAAGCCTTTAAATAGCTCATTTGGTCTAGGTTTTCCAAGGTTAATTCGCTGTTAGGGTTTGGTAATAGTTTGTCTATTTCTTGGTGCAGGATTTGTTGTTTTTCGGGATTTATTGCGAGTTGGTAGAGAATTGAAGCGATTGCGTTTGAGGTCTACGAAAAAAATGGTTGATTTTATACGTCATTGGAAAGAGTATTTTTTGAAATCTTGCCACACTCATGAATAATTGCTGATATCTTCAATTATATTTGAGTAAAGTAGTAATAACTATATAACATTGGAAAGAGCATAAAATGATCTATAAACCTGTGTAAAATTGAGCTTTGTAGCTCGTAGAGTTTCAGAGATATTGAGCCTCAAAATTGAAATTTAGTCTACTTCAAACTCGATTTTCTCAAAAACTATAAATGGTAGCGATTTCAATTAAATACCATCTAAAAGCCCTTATCAAGAGCTACATTACCTGACAATTTTGTTTTAGTACCGCTCTTGGGTACCGAGATATCTAGGTTTGAAGATTTGAAAATGAAAATCCAAAGGGGTTACCCTTAGAAAAAAGTGCAAAAAATTGAAAATTTTTATTTTTGGGTTTTTCCTATTTTTAACTTCAGAAATCGATAGAGCGGATCTAAATTAGTCAGAAACAACTCTGACATCAGTTAAATTTAGAGATTTCGATGAGAAAAAAAAATCCGAAAGGAAATCTCATTTTTGGCTTTAAAAATTTTTTAAAATCTTGACACGCTCATGAATAATTGCTGATATCTTCAATTATATTTAAGTAAATGAGTAATAACTATACATCATTGGAAAGAGCATAAAATTCTCTATAAATTAATGTAGAATTGAGTTTTGTCGCTTGAAGAGTTTTAGAGATATTAAGCCTCAAAGTTGAAATTTAGTCTACATTTTGTCCAAAACTTTAAACTCGATTTTCTCCAAAACTATAAATGGTAGCGATTTCAATTCAATACCATCTAAAAGCCCTTATCAAGAGCTACATTACCTGGAAATTTTGTTCTAATACCGCTTTTGGTTATTGAGATATCCAGGTTTGAAAATTTGGAAATGAAAATCCAAAGGGGATATCCTTAGAAAAAAGTGCAAAAAATTGAAAATTTTTATTTTTGGGTTTTTCCTAATTTTAACTTCAGAAATCGATAGAGCGGATCCAAATTAGTCAGAAACAACTCTGACATCAGTTAAATTTAGAGATTTCGATGAGAAAAAAAAATCCGAAAGGAAATCTCATTTTTGGCTCTAAAATTTTTTTAAAATCTTGACACGCTCATGAATAATTGCTGATATATTCAATTATATTTGAGTAAAATAGTAATAACTATACATCATTGGAAAGAGCATAAAATTATCTATAAACCTGTGTGAAATTGAGCTTTGTAGCTCGTAGAGTTTCAGAGATATTGAGCCTCAAAATTGAAATTTAGTCCAAAACTTCATACTCGATTTTCTCAAAAACTATAAATGGTAGCGATTTCAATTAAATACCATCTAAAAGCCCTTATCAAGAGGTACCATTCCTGGAAATTTTGTCTCAGTACCGCTTTTGGTTACTGAGCTATTAGTAGATATGAATCCTATAGTACGAGTTACCGTGCGTGTTAAAGTTTGGCCTTCACTGGAAATGGGTATATTGAGAGGCTAAAAAAAAGATAGGATGAAGGCCTCCTTAAAAACCACCCCCATAAAGGTGCATTTTTTTAAAGTTTTTCTCAGGAACTATCAGCTTTTTGGAAAAAAATGAAGAACCCTAATTATTTAAAGAGAATGAAAGTTCATATTCATTATTGGTGTATAATATGTTTATTTTTAACAAAAAATTCAAAAATATTGGTTTGTAAGTTAGATAAGATGAACATAAAATACAAAATAATGAAAAATACACCCATATATAATGAAATTAAGAATTTGAACACACACATTTGCATAATAAGGTTCAGGGAAAATCCTTTTTCTTACAACTGTATTTTTTAAGACAACTTTTGCTACAGTTACATTTGATCAGTTCCTCGCAAGCTTTGCTTACTTGAGGGATTAATATTCACTTTGGGATAAGTTTTCCCTCAGGGGATTTTACCCAACCAAAATCAGAGGAATCTGATGGAGTTTAAATCAGTGGCTCTTTGGCATAAACCCATATGCTCGCTTTTACAGTGTAGTAGTAGGACATCCTGCGTAGGAGGTATGGTCTCTGGGTTATTGTTCTCCCGATATTTAATTTTCGTTTATTTTTTCCTGTTCCATGATAAAGGTATATTGAACAATCGTATATGACTTAGCTGTTGGAAATATTCTAAATGGTAAATTAGGATACTTAACAGTTATATCAGAATCTACGCATTTAACGAGAACTGTTTTTGAACCTATTTTTAGAGCATGAATTACATGTAGGATAATTTTGGTGCTTTTTGATCACAGTTTTCAAACATCTCTGTTCCTGGGCCAACATGTCTAACAGTATATTCATGTGTTATATAGAAATCACACTCGGGTCTTAATTTTAGCATTGAACAACTTTCATTTGTTAGATATATAAAAAGATCAGATTTATTCTTTGAATTCCGGAGAAATTTAGGCCATTTCTTAGGCAGATACTTTTGTCGTAGAGCTGATTCTGATCCTGGAAGCGGTAACGCGATTTTCTCTAGTTTTCCAATAACTATCCCAAAGCTACGTGCAACTGAGACATTCTGGAGAATTGTACGTCAAGAAACATGTCTCTACATAATTTTCGAAATTGATTGTGTTTGAAGTGGGATTTAAAAAATGTATTAGAGCACAACCATCGATTACTACAACATCAGAGTATTAACGGATTCCGATTCCTACTGTTTCAGTTATTTCTGAGTTTTCTGCTTCGCCTAATGTGTAAAATATCTGATTTTTTTTGAATGAAACATTTTATCAAAGTTTAAGCAATGGGAAGAATACTTTGAAGAATTACTGACAGAACAGCGGGCAGAGTTTAAAGAAGAAAAGGAACAGACACGAAACAAAAACTGCAGGATCACCAATAAGAGTTATGCAAGAAAAAGTTAAAAAACACTGTAGCTTCTTGAAAAATGGTAGGGCACCAGGCCCAGGAGAAATATCTGCAAAACTGATAAAGTGTGGGACCGGAAGAGTGGAAAATAAGCTATTTAACAACAATACCTAACCTATATAAGAAAGCAGATAGAAACAAACACCGAGGAATTGCAGTAACAAATACGCTGAGCAAAGTGTATGGAAAACTCATATAAACCAGAATAGAGAAAGAGTGCAGTGAGGCAGAAGAACAGGCTGGTTTTAGAGCAGGAAGATCTCGACCATTTATTTAGTTGGACCCAGATAATGGAAAAGAAGCCAGCATATATTCACACGTTCGGACCTATTTTGGTTTGATAAACACAGTGCGCGTGCAATAAAGACAGCAGTAAAAAGCAACGTCTGTGATATATTCGAGTAAGTGACTTTCATCATTCAACATTCATTAGAAAGAGTTTAGTAGCGATCACCCAGTGGCACCTCATTACACTGCTTACCAACAACAACCACCAATAGTGCTGTCACAAGATCAAGTGTCTTACCAACAGGCACAAACAGAATAGAATCTCGTGACAAACAAAAAAAGCCCAGAGACATTGAGTGCCAGGAAAACAAACAAAAATTAGCGACTACGTATTGATTGCAGAAAATCACTTAGAAACAGCAAACAGATTCAGCAGTATAGGCATATCAGAAGAAAATGGCGAAAGCCACGAAAAACATGAACAAAACAACACAAAGGCTGTTACTAAGCTTCCACCCATAACCATAGTAGGTACAATTCAATATATCTACAATTTGCTTAATTCTATAAAGACCACCAGCTATGAAACAATAAAAGTCCAAGTCTTCGAAGCTGAACACTTTAAAATACTGATCAAGGAACTGGATAAGAGAAAAACGCAATACCACACATTTAGACCAAAAAGCGAAAAAACATTCAGATTCGCTCTACCACGCAACAGATACTGATGACATAATGGCAGCATCTTCTGTCAATTTTATTATGTAACTGCGATCTACTTTTCCTATACCAGAAAATACTTTTTCGTGCTTTAAAAGATTTCTTTAGAATAAATTGGAAAAAGTAGAGAGAAAAATTAAGAAAAAGCAGAGAAAAGTTGGGCAAAAAGCTATCAAATGGTAGAAAAATTTCGGAAAAGAGAATCTTTGAAAAAATAAAGAGAAAAATTGAAGAAAAAAGCAGAAAAATAGTTGGACAAAAGCAGAAAAAGGGACACAAAACAGTAATGAAAAGCTTTGAATAAATGAGGAAAGCGAAATAGAAAAATATGAAAGAGAAAAGCAAAGTTGGTATTGTTTCTGTTATAGTATTTCCAAAGTCAGTTGAAACAAGGTAAATCACAACTGGTGACTGAATATTTTCATAAGAAATGTATACTGCTACTAGTCAGCCACCAATTGCAATTTATTATTACCTCAACCGAATTTTCGTTATTACTTCCATGATTTCATGAACACAAACGCTTTCGCGAGAAACTCATGACGTCATAAACGAATCATATGTTGAACTGCATTCGTCGCGAAAATACGGTTCTTGTTTCAATTGACTTTGGAAATACTATACCTGTTCCATTTTGTATAGAATTGTAACCAGTAATTAAAGTACGGATATTTATTAGGAATTTTGCTGGGATGATTATTGTAATAGTGTCATGATGTCATTATGATTGTCATAAAAGATATACATATTTCAATAAAAGTATAATTAGGTATCCAAATTCTGCATTTAACTCACTTTGTGAGTATATAGGTAACTTACAGTTGGACAAGAATTATTAAAATAGTAATCTTGAAAAAATATAAGAAAAGAGGCAAAATGCAGTAGAAAAATTTCACTTTTGATTCAAATTTTGATTGTTATCGGGTCTTGAGTCGCTGGAAACTTTTCTAGAAGCCTTCAACAGCCAATAATCCTGGTATTTTTTCGATCTGAACAAACTGCCTGTGATCACATGAGGTTTTGTTCATGAGGCTCAAAAAAACCGCTGGGCCAATAAAATCGTTGTAACACCGGATGAAAATTGCTTCAAACAAACCTCAAGTGACTTTTAATAGTTCAAAAAAGGTTATTTGAGACACTAAG